ATAATAGGCAACTTCACTTTTGCTTAACTGAACACTTCCTCGTCCATGAACATGGCCTTGGCCTCTAATTGGTAGATGACAGTAACTTAAGAAGCTGATGACCATAACACCCCCAGTTTTTCCTTAAAAGTGACAACATGGTCACTTTACTCCGCAAGGACACTTTTTAAGAAAACTGTGTCATGAGATACTGGAGAACTAGGTAGTAACAACCAATACGTGGCAACAGGACACATTCATTGCCTTTTTGTTTATACTCTGAAGCCTAAACATTGGCGTTAACACTGCTGCTGATCTGAATTACAGCTTAGTCAAGTTTCTGAACCTTCTGCCTTTTGTGTCTTAAAGCACTGCCAATATAGTAATGGCTCACTTTCCAGGCATTCACTTATCCAGAAACCCTAAATATCCTAACAGGTGGTCAATGAGGAAATGAAAAGATTCTTCGCTCTGGCAGGCAACATAAATATGAAAACACTCAGTAGAATACTTTGATTTTAGCTATTTTAACAATTATTTTGAGTTCAGTTTCTTGATTCACTTGATTTTCTGGCCCGAGTCAAAGACAAGGAAGCATGAAAACAGGCACATAAGGCAACTGAGAAAGAAAAGCCACGGAAAAATGAAAACTCAAGAAACCAACTAGCTCCAGAGTAAACAGCATTTGGGCAACTCATGGTCTCTAAGTGCATCACTGCGTTAACTTCCAACATACTATGTGACCTTCACCATGAGCAGAGGCAGGGCGGGGTCTTCCACACACCATACAACAGTGTTCAGATCCTCATCCGTGTAAGGGCGAACACAGCCTCCTTAAAAGACGCACCAGAGTTGGCGTGGTGGTCCTCAAGAAATGAAAGCTACTATTCTTCTACTTAAGAAGGTAGAAATAAATAAAACACATTTTAGATTGGTTAACATAAAAAGTTTTGGTGTCTAAGGGAGCATTTCAGTCACCTGGGAAAATTCATTTATGTGTAAAACCTTATTTGTTAATGACGCTGTGAATAAATGTAATGACTATTTCTTCTTTGAGAAGTAGGATAATGTGTCCTCTGAAGTTAGGACTAGGAGAGTTTGGAAAAAAGGATTTTCAACAAACGAAGCATATAATCTCCGAATTAGAATGACTAAGAGTGGAGGCTATACTCTACTTAAACAGTTATCACCTAGGAATCACAGTAAGATTATTTTGCTAATTTCAGTGAAGAGGTAAAAAAGTATGTTTAAAGACTAGAGATTTACTAAAACTGTCTGGTATCACCTTTTCAAACGGGAAAGTTATTTTAAAACAAATTTGAACATGTCTTTTCCCAAATAAGTCACTAGCCAAATGTGTAAAATTAAAGAACTTTTATTTCTTGACAAATGGGACATTTCCATCAGTTCCAACAGTGCTAAGACATTTCAGAGCTCCTACAAAACAGGTAGTCTAGCTATGATTTATTTAAAATGATAGATTATTACTGATAATCACCTGTTAATTTCATGTGGATTCCGTTTTCAATCTTATTACTACGTGAGAAAAGTGTAAAGATGCTAAAATTGCTGAATAAAAAACAGGGCAAGGGAGCCCATAACACTTACCAATAGTTAAAAGGATACGCCATCAAATTGTGTGTGAGAAAGTAGGTTACAACTCAAATTCTTTATCTTATACATACTCGGATACAGAAGTTATCAAGAATAGTTAAATCACATGTGTCCTATAGAATAAAATGATAATTTAGCATCAATATCTGGTTCAATTATTTTGGCTTTTTAAAGCCACACAAAACATACTTCCTAGTCAGCTCAGTTTGTTAGTTTAAACACCATTATGCCTTTGGAAAGATGAAACAAATGTTGGCAACTACTGTAACCAGCCTTGGATCTACTGTAACCAGCCTTGGATGACTCTCAGTATCTGTCACAGTAACGCCAAAAGATCTAGCTGTAGTTCAAAGACAGGAGTGGCATCACATACAGAGCAGGAAACTCTGAGAAGGGTTCCTCCACCAACACAATCATTAAGCTGGAAAAAAGTTACCAAGACCAACTTTCTCTAACTCTCACCTAATCAGATGCTACAGCAACCAGGAGAAAGCTCGGCAATTTAAAGGTTGTGGCTCCTTGGCAAAAGGCTGGTTTGACTGGACCACCTACCTATTTGCCGCAGCCTATTCTCAGGGACAGCCCTGTCCTCCAAAACTTTGGCACTGTGTATTTTGGTCAGTCTGGTGGTTCCCTGAGGGACTAGCACTGATGATGCTTGCCTTTGACCCCCCCATCCCCCCCACCCCACCCCAGGCTGCAGCAATTTCCCCAGCAGCATCTGTCAAAAATTGAGACACGCACACTTAAAAAAAAAAATTGCAGACATTTAGAGAAATCTGTCAGGCCACATGCTGACTAGAGACAGCAGAACAGGAGCTTCAAGTACCATACAAAAAATACAAACTTTGCAAAAATATTTTGGAAAATCCACTACACAAATGATCGAATGCACCCCTCAACAAGTAACAAAACCAATCCCTAAAGTGAGGGAGAATCTGATTTCCAAAGCTATCTCAGTATAATACTCAAAATGTACAGTCCGCAGTACAAAAATTACAAAGCATACAAATAAACTGGAAAATATGTCAGACGCACAGAAAAAGAAGGATTTGGCAGAAACTGACACTGAGGAAGCCCAGATATTGGAGTTACTAGTCAAAGATGTTGATCAGCTGTTATAAAGTATGCTCAAAGGGCTAGTGGAGACCACGGAAAAAGGACTAAAGGAACCAAGAGACTGATGTATAGACAGATACAAAATGTCAACAAAGAGACCAAAATTATAAAAAGGAACCAAACAGAAACTCTGGAATGGAAAAATAGCTGAAATCTTAAAATCTACTGAAGGGATTTACCAGCAGACTTGAGCAGACAGAAGAACGAATCAGCAAACTTGAAGGCCGCACAATTGAAACCACCCACTCTGAGAAGCACAAAGAAAAATGAGCAGAATGGAAGGGACCCGTAGGACACCACCAAACCTACCAACATATGCATACAGGAATCCCAAGAGATTAGAGAGGTAGGCGAAATATGTATTTTTTTTAAGAAAAAAATAGCTGAAGAGCAAGGAAGACCTGTGGAAAGTCAAAATGGGCCAGAAGCGGTACCTCTCGCGCCAGACAGTTGGCCAGTTGTGAATGCAAAGAAAAAGTTACTGATGGAAATGAAAAGTACTTATCCATCAAGCACATGAAAGCAAAACAGCCTTATTGCTAATACGAAGAGTTTGAGTGGTCTGGATAGAAGATTAAACCATCCACAACATTCCCTTAAGCCAAATCCTAAGTCAAAGCAAGGTCCTGACTCTTCAACTCTATGAGGACTCAGCGAGGTGAAGAAAAGTTGGAAGCTGGCACAAGTTGGTTCATGAGGTTTAAGGAAAGAAGCTGTCTCCACAACATAAAAAAGTGCAGGTGAATCAGCGAATACTCAGGGAGAAGCTGCAGCAAATTATCCAGAAGATCTAGTTAAGATCATTGATGAATTGGTCATACCAAAAAATAGATTTTCAAAGTAGAAAAAACAGACTTCTATGGGAATAAGATGCCATCCAGGACTTTCAGAGTTGAAGATGAGCAGTCAATGCCTGGCTTCAAAGGACAGGCTGATTCTCTTGTTGGGGATTAATGCCTCTGGAACTTTAAGCTGAAACCAATGCTCACTCACCATTCTGAAAGTCCTAGAGCTAAATCTATTCTGCCTGAGCGCTGCAAATGGAATCATAAAGCCCGGGTGACAGCACATCTGTTTACACCACGGTTTACTGAATATTTTAAGCCCACTGTTGAGACCCACTGCTGAGAAAAAGAGTTCTTTCAAAATATTACTGCTCATTGACAAGGTCACCCAAGAGCTCTGATGAAGATGTGCAAGGAGATGAATGTTGTTTTCATGCCTACTTAGCACTGTGTCCATTCTGCAGCTCATGGATCAAAGAGTAATTCCAACTTTCGAGTCTTAATAAGTTTTTTTTAAGGCTATAGATGACATAGTGATTCCTCTGGTGGATCTGGGCAAAGTACACTGAAAACTTTCTGGAAAGGATTTACCGTTCTAGGTGTCATTAAGAACATTCATGACTCATGGGAGGAGGTCAGATCATCAACATGAACAGGAGTTTGGAAGAAATTGATTCCAATCCTCGTAAATGACGAGGGTTTCAAGACTTCAGTGAAGGAAGTTACTGCTGATATGGTGGTTAACAGCAAGAGACCTAAATTAGAAATGGAGGCCAGGCATGGTGGTGTGTGGCAGTAATCCCACCTTTTCAGGGGCTGAGGCAAGAGGAATGCTTGAGCTTTAGAGTTTGAGACTGCCCTGGGCAACATAGCAACACCTTGACACACAAAAAAATAAAAATGAAATAAAATTAGAAGTAGAGCCTGAACATGTGACTGAATTGCTGCAATCTCATGACAAAACTTTAATAGATGAGGAGTTGCTTTGTATAGATGAACAAAGAAAGTGGTTACTTGAAATGGAATTCATTCCTGGTGAATATGCAGTGTACACTGCTGAAATGACAGCAAGGACCTGGACTATTACATAAACGTAACTGACAGAGGAGCATCAGGATTTGAGAGCCATGACTCCAGTTATGAAAAAAGTTCTACTGTGGGTAACATGCCATCAAAAGCATCGCATGCCACAGAAAAATCTCATGTGAAAAGGTTGACTGATGGGGCAAACTTCATTGTTATTTAATTATAAAAAAAGCTACAGCCACCCCAACCTTCAGCAACCACCGCCCTGATCAGTCAGAACCCATCCATACTGGGGCAAGACCCTTCCCAGCAAAAAGATGGCAACTCACCGAAGGCCCAGATGATCATTAGTGTTTTTCAGCAATAAAGACTTTTTAAAATTAAGGCATGAATGTTGTTTTTTTTGCACACATAATGGTATCGTACATTCAGCAGATTCAAGCATAAACAACTTTCACACGCCCCGGGAAACCAGAAAACGTGTAGAACTTGCTTTATTGTGACATTCACTTTATTTCAGTGGTCTGAAACCAAACTTGCAGTGTCTCCAAGGTATGCTTATGAGTACACAAGTCCATACTGATAAATGCTTGAATAAACAAATGGGAGAGAAGAAACAGACCTTCAAGAATAACTTCAAATAACATGCAGATATTGCCCCCTTCAGGGACTGAAGCTTAAATCCTTCTGACCTGTGGGGTATGGAAAGGGAATGACAGGAATCTGGCGGTAGAGAAACCTGGCAAATCCCACTGTGACCAAGTGCCCCCGGTCGGAAGAAGTCACATGGCAGTCATACCCTCCCCCAACAGGATGCAATGAGAAAGGCACGTGACTTCTGTGATACTTTATCCCAAAACCCATACTCCCAGTCCAATCATGAGAAATATATCAAACAAATTTAAATTGAGGGATACTGCACAGACTACTTGACCAGTGATTTTCAAAACTGTCACGGTCATATAAAACAAGGGAAGTCAGAAACTGTCACAGGTCAGAGAACACAAAGACGTGATGCCTAAGTGTAGCATGTTCGTAATGGGATTCAGAGACAGAAAGAGGATGTTAGGGAAAAACTAGTGAGATTCAAATAATGACTGGCATTTAGTTAACAGTAACTACTAATGTTGGTTTTTTGACCTTGACAAATGTTCCATGGAAATGTATGAGGTTAGCAGTGGAGGAAACTGAGTGGGGGACACATGGAAGCTCTCTATACTGTCTTCACAATTTTCCTATTAATCTACAATTAATCCCAAATAAAAATTTATTGAAAAAGGAAAAAAAAAAGACGTAGCAGATGGTTTACCTTCTTTATTCCACTATGTTTAACTACTGTGGAGGTTCAGAGAATCACAACACATCTGTGGCAAAGGTGTGCGATCCAGTCTCTTAAGGCAGGTCTCTGTTCCTAAATGTAGAGATGTAGTTTGGATTCATGTTAGGAAGTGGGAAGTTCTTAAGCCATGGCAAGGATGGGAGGGAATACTGACCTACACTGGAACAAACGGAACCAGGCCACCGTCTGGAGTCACGTGCTGTGGTCTGACATAGATGTCTCTAACATCATGTCACTTTCATTCATTTCGATCTCAAAGGTTTCTTCCAAGGAAGGTCTGGAATCCGGAGTTTTCCTTGAGGTTTCCAGTGGTGCAAGCCCCGTTTCTTCTGCAGTCTGTTTTTCTACTTCAAAATCCCTGAAATCCCACGGAGGTGAAATAATGTTTTTTAGTGTCTTCATTGTATGCACATCAAAGTCATAACATTTTAATTTGTCTTTAATGTCTGCTCCTAAAAAGAAATGCCATAATTAGAATAAAATAAGAAAGTTCATCACTTATCTGTTACTTCCATCATTATGCAACACCATCATCAGTTAAGTCAAATTGTACTTTTAAGAGCACGCATAGTGCTCAGAAGGAGAACAATGTGACTGTCATTTTCTTCTACTTCCCACCGTCTTCACAGAAAGATTCCAGAAGTACAGGCAGTTGCAGCTGCAGGGTGCTCATCAGCCACCCAGCGCCCAAAGCCTCTTACGGACGCAGGAGGCTAGCAGGCAACATCTGTCTCAGCTGACACAGAGAGAACGGTCTGCGGGCGCCTGTCAGGCACAGCCGCTAATCTTGGGCACCCAGGAACCACGATCAAAGGAAACCCATTACCCACGTAATTGAAACCTTAAGAATGATGCAGATTTGAACAGATCTAACAGATGTTTTAGGTTCGGTCATTTGACATAAACAAAATGACAATTTTACACAGTTCAAACTAGCAACTTGCAGGAATCGGTCGCTTGGCAGATATGACATGCAAACCTTCTAAAAATAAAAATGGCAAGTAATAAGTGGGAAATGGGAAGGACAGGGAAAACATCTTACTCATTTTGGTACCTCCAGCCTTTGCTTAGTTTTATGTGAACTCCCGCTTCAGCCTAACAACTCCTCCTTGAACAGGGGAGGAAAAGGCGGCTCATACTTGCCAGAACGTCACAGGGGCTACTGAGGGGCAGAGCTGGGGTTTCAACCCAGGGTCTCTGGAGCGCCACCGTTTCTGTCTGTTTTGACTCACAACAAGCAAAGTGTGTTTCCCTTAAGTGTGTGGCTGGATGACTTCTTGTGTGATCGCATTCCCACGTAACCAGTGCCGGCAGAAACACAGATCACTTCCAGCTCCTCGGACCCCTCCATGCCCATTCCTGGCCAATACCTGTTGCCTTCCCCAGCCTCAAATAACCACCACTCCACCTCTTCTAAAACCACCAACTGGCTCTGTTCATTACTAATCTTCCTGTAAATGGAAGTCATCAGCACATGCTCATTTTCTGTCAGAACCTATGAAATCCATCCATGTGGTCATTGCGGATTAGCTGCTATTAGAAATAAAGCTGCTAAGAGCAACCCTGCAAGTGAGCTTTCGTGGAGAGGCACTTGTTTCTGTGAGGCCTATATGTGGGAGCAGACCTGCTACACCACAAGAGCGGTATGATCTTCATTCCTCCAATATCCCCCTCCCCACGGAATCACACCTCCCAGCACCCTCATGCTTGTAAAGCCCCCCTACACTGACTCAGCTTACCTGACGTGCTCTGATTAATACAATGGGATGAAATGATGCTGTGCAACTGCTAACTTTCAAGGGCCTCGAAGCTTTGGTTCTTGTCCTTTAGAACCCTGTGCCATTATGCCTCGGATGAGAGCCCTATAGGGGGAGACCCAGCTGTTCCAGCTGAGCTCCCCAACCCGTGAGTAAGGGCATATGAGACCATCAACCAGCCAAGCCAGTCACAGTGACAACAAACCTGGGCAAGACCAGGAAATGAGTTCAATGACCACAGAATTGTAAAAAGACTACATTTTTGTTGGTCGAAGTCACTAGGTTTTAGAGTGGTTTGTTAGGCAGCAACAGATAGCTGATACAACAGGCTTAAATTTCGTATGATATGTCAAATCGTTTTCCAAAGAGGTTTCACCCTTTTACAACCCCACCATCAGTCAATAACCGGTGAGAGTTCCAGCTGTTCTAAATCACACCTACACTACACATCATCCGTATTTTTAACATTTAGCCACCATGGTTTTCATTTCATTTCTCCAAAAAGCAATGATATTGAGCACCTTTATTTGCTTCATGACTATCTGGATATCCTCTTGTATGGACCTACTCCCCTAAGTATTTTATCTATTTTTTGACCCATTTTTATTTGACTTCTTCTTACGTATAGGACTTTTTTGTATTCGAGTCATGAGTTCTCTAATGAGTCTAAGTACTGTGAGTCGCTTCTCCCATGCTATGGCTTGTCTTTCACTCTCTTAATAGTTTTTGATGAACAGAAGTTTTTAATTTTATCGGAGCACAATTTATCATTTTTTCACCTTCTTATGATCCTGTTAAAGAAATCTTTGCCTATCCCCAAGTCCAGAGCTCAATATTTAACCTCAACACATCATCTTTATCATATAATGTTTGTAACCAAACGAGGGCCCAAGTATAGCAATTGCATCCAAATTGTTACTGTTACTTGCTTATTGTTAACAAAATGTAAAGAATTACATATCACTTCATGTGAATGTAAGGCGTCTTAATATTCCACCAATATGTGAAGATTAATATTATGCTACACCATGCATTAGAAAATAAAAGCCCCTGCAATTGTTTATTAGAAAAATGTTGCTAAGATTTCTTTTTCCATTATACAATTAGATTGATCCGTCTATAGTACAGTGCTTTACACATATTTTGAACACAGCAAGCATTCAACTTTGAACAGAGTGGATCCTTGATGAGTCACTAACTCCGACAGCATTGTTCTAACAAAGTGGAGTTTTGCATTATTAATGCAGTTAGAATTGTTAGAAACATAAACGTAGGACCTCAGATGAGTATTTGAAAAACCTAAACAGAGATATATAACAACCTAAAAAACTAAATACAATTCCGGAAAGAATAATTATAATCTTACCGATATAAGCTTCAGAGTCACCGATGTACATTTCAATGCAATGACCAAGCATTGTAACAGAAAATGTATCATCTCGCCTGAGACCAAGGGCCTGCCAAAAAAGATTCAGCATGGTTATTAAAAAAAATACACGTTTCCTTCCCATGGTTATTAAAAAAAAATACACGTTTCCTTCCCTTTTGCTTAGAAATATCACATTGATTCATTCAACTCATTCGTGATCGCTGACATCAATTTATGTCATTCCAAATTCTGTTCCTGGTTGCCGCTGACATGAATTTACCTCATTGTGGAGACTACTTTTTCAGATTTATAATCCGAATAAAATACAAAGTACAGAATGCTAGTCAGAATGATATCTGAGGCAAATACTGGATATGTCTGCAACTTCCAGTTATACTGTGAAAAGGGTGACAATTTAGAAAAGACCACTTCACTTGTGCTTAATGTCAGAAGTTTGGCAACCAGTTTCAGATCTGTTTTACTTTCACCCACTGTCTTGATTAGGAAAGTGAAAATCTGCCTGTCACAAATGTGTTAACAATATCTTGGGAACCCAGGGTAGGGGAAAGGGGCTGCCAATGGGGACAGAGTGACAAGGTTGGTCAGGAGCTGATGACTGCTGAAGTTGGGTTATGTTGGGAACATTGAGGTTCTTTACACTATTTTCTTATACTTGAAATCTGCCTCTCCCGGAAGATTAAAAACAAAACAAAAGAGCTCTTATCTCCATATAGAGTCCTCTGAGCTTTCTGTTTAATTGAATCACAGAAGAGAGGTAAATTATACACTATCCAAATATACTTATGTAAGAGATCACATAAAACTAGAAAATGTGCTTAGTCCAAATTTCTGACTAGCTCAGTATTCTGGCATTTTCAGGACTTAGCTCACCTACCCTAAAAAAAATCTCAAATTAATGCTTGAAAATCAGTTACAAACCTATCTATCATAAATTTATCTTTGAAAGATTACATTTCCTCGTATTTTATCTCACTCTCCAATTACTTCATCAATTCTAAGACCCACATTTCTTCAAATTCTAACATTTCTGAACCAACCTGGGATGTCTCACGCTAGTGGCTTTGTACTACTGCTGTCAGCCAGCCACAGCTGTGACGAGGGTATCCCACCCGTGCAGCATGGACTTGGTGGTTATGCTGGCAGCACAGATCCAACATCAAACCACGTGAGGAAAAGACACATGAATAGTGGTTGCCTAAAAACCGTCTGTTGACACTTTAGCAGACTGAAAGGGATGTGAGAGAGATTTGCAAAACAAGTGTCTGTAGCTGGGAAGAAACTGAGACAGGAAGTGGTTGTGTATGTTGGTACCAGAACACTACAAACGGGGCTACTGACCCTCTAAGTTGAATATTATAACCATTTATTTCACTTACATTTTTTATCTACTAGAGTGATAAAAACTAGTATGCTCAAGAGGACTTTAAGTGCAAACTTAAATGACAGGAAAAAATGATATTCAAGTTTAATGTAAGGCAGCACTTTCTTATTTGTGGTTCTCTTATTTATTAGCAGGGTCTTAGGTTTGAGGAATCAAGCAAAAAGTCTTTCCTTGTGAGGAATGCACAGACTGCTTTGTTCACCTGTTGAGGCGATCTAAGGGAATTAATCGTTAAGAGTTATGAACAGGAAGGCTCACTGTGAACACTGTGGAGTTTCTGTGCTCCCTGCCGGGACAGCACCCAGACTCATCACTGACGAGCACCACTGGCACCTGCATGCCTCACTGCAAACACCGAGGGCAGGGCTTGTCTCTTTCTAATTTGACGAATACTGCACAACAAGTACATGCTTCTCTGCAAGGAAAGAATTTAAGGTTGCCTAACGAATTTTAAAGCAGGAAAGAAACAGACACTGCCTAGCAAAGATATTTTCAAGAAAGAAGTAGCAAATGTCAACCAGATCCAAGGTCAGGTACAAACAAAAGACATACTGTGTGGAAATAGTCCACAGCATTTTCAAAGTTGCCCATCAGACTGTGGATATATCCGATAGCAGAATAGGTGGATGCATTCTGAGGAATCAACACCAACGCCTGACGGTGGTAATCTAAAGCTTCTGCATACTTTCTGTGAGGGAGGATGGGGGCAGGGGAGAAAAAGAGAGAAAGCCATTACCGAGTACAGTAAATGCATACAATTCCTAAGTCTGAGATGAGTACTCATCCATGTCAACTCATAAGAAACTCTTTACTATGTTAGAGTAACTGGTAACTGTCCTCAAATCCACTCATGTGGATTTTCCAGGTGTGTTCAAATGCATTTTCCAGGTGTGTTCCCTCAGCCGCCCAGGGGCATGCCTGCAGACATCTGCTGTCTTCCTTTAGATGACCGGCAGGACACTGCAACCAGAACCTAGGCTTCAACTCCTGGCCTGGGCCTTTACTACACACCACCTTTTTATGTGATGTAAACTTTCCACACTAGGGGTGGTTAACAGCAGCCAAAGAGTTTTGTCCAAAAAAAGGTACTTAGAACAGTGTTTCCAAAGTTCTCTAGGATACCTGACCTGTAAAGTCTTTTGTGAAAAAAAGGGTTTATGCTCAATTAAAGTTTGAGTTAGGACTCAAAGAAATCCTACAAAAAAACTTGTTAAATCTTGAGTAACCTAAAGTTTCCCAGACTTTTTAAACCAAATAATTCATTTTTCTTTTAAAAAAAGAAATGAGGTCTTGCTGTATTGCCAGGTTAGTCTCTAACTCCTAGCCTCAAGCAATCCTCCTGCCTCAGTCTCCCAAAGTACTGGGATTATAGGCGTGAGTCACTGCACCTGGGCAGAATCCATTTTTCTTTCTTTCTTTCTTTTTTTTTTTTTTTGAGTTGGAGTCTCACTGTTGCCCAGGCTGGAGTGCAGTGGCACACTCACG